TTTTATATAGTAGGTGCAAGTACAATAATAGTAAATTTAACTACATTTCTATCATCCACTTTACTATTCGCATGGTAAACAAAAGTGAAGTGGTTCGGAATGTCTTCACTAGAGGGACGCGCGATACAAGACTCTCTCGTAAGTAGAAAACCGCTTAGGGTGTTATAAATACGGATCAGTTTATGCATTCGTACAAGATTACGTATCTTTTCTTTGAAAGATGCTTTCTTGTACTATTCTTTATGAGTGCAAAGTGATGTAACCAATGAATATAATGAAATTACTATTACATATAGTTATTCGAAATTTTACTTGTGGTTGTTATTGCAATATTTATAGTACACCTTACCAAATTAAAAGCTCGTTTTGGTTTATGACAACCATATCATAAGTTGCATGGACCAATATAGTGTCTATATGAGAACTATAATACATTGTTAGGTCAACCATAACCAACGTAGTTGGAAGAATTATAAAAATATGGTTGGGTCCAAAAATGAGAGAGAGACTATAAATTATAGTGAGATTGTGGTAACTGCAACTATTTTTTTCTCTCTGTGTAGTGGCACAATATACTGGCGCAATATTGGGAAATAATGCGAATCCAGTATTCCCAATATGGGCCAATATTGTAAGATGGACGCCTTCTCTTATTTAGCCAGTATGTCTATTTAGCAACATTGGTCCAATATTGCGTCAATGTTAGGCCAATATTGTTATTACATTGTTAAATGTCGGCCAATGCGCTTCCAATATAAATCTAATATATATAATTATTATTGTACAATATTTACGTGCATAAACAACTAAAGTTAAATCAGGATCTTTGTGAGATACAACTTGAAATATACACGAGAACGCCAAATCATATTTAGAGCAAGCTGGGGGTAGTCTAATAATTTTTAATTTAATTTACATTAATTTCATGGCCAATTAACGATGTCGAATTGACATCGATACCGTCAAATTGACGTCGATTCGACATCGTTTCGACATTGATCGACGAATCATTTCTCACTGGGAATATTGGCTTTACGTTGGACAATATCGGCCAACGCATTTCTAATGTAACCAACATTGGAGCAATATTTGGCCAATGTTTAGCCAATGCGCTGTGCTACTGGGGTTAATCTAGTTGTTTGTGAATTAGCGCTAACTGCCCGAGGTGAAAGAACACCGTGGCGAATTCTTACAGAGTGTAAAAGGAGATTCCCCTTGCGGCCGAAGAAGAGCTCGAAATTGGTGACGTAAGAGCGAATTCTTTTCGCACTCTCGGGAACGCTTTTGGAACAGAGGCGAGATGAAGAAGCCCTAACAGCACAGAAATATTTTAAAAGGTTAAATATATTTTAAAATCTTTTTAAAATACTTTATAAATATTTTAAAATATATTGAATCCTTTAAACTATTTCTGTGCTATTAGGGAGGACTTCATCTCGCAATTCGGCAATTCAAAAAGAATTTCTTTCGGATCTTTACGCTAACCGGGAGATGCGCGGGAAAGCGCGTTTCTCGTGCCCGCTCAGAACGCGCCCTGCTCTCCTGATCGTTGTTTTCCCCGTCATCCCTAAGACGCACGCTCGCGAGATGCCACTTCGCGAGGGGTCCTCCCTCTCGCCCTTCCCTAGTTATAGAGGAAAGTCCCCTATTGTGAGCCAAGTTCTTAATGTGAGATAGCGCGGTTTCTATTAAATTAACAAGCATGATTTATTGGTTCCACCATGAATTTATTGCTCTTGAAGTGAGCTCTGTCTAGTGGAAAATTCGTTGGTAGAGCGTGCAATCGTCGCGAAAAGAAACTTGTGATTGAACTTGGACGTTGGAAACCTAGGCTGCTATTTCACATCAGAAGCTATCTCTCTCATAATAGGGGACTTTCCTCTATTATAAAAAGATTCGGATGATGAGCGATGGCTATAATTAATCCCCTCACATAGCACTCGGATTAATTATACAAATAAATCTATAAATTCCTCGAGAAATTATGTTTATTTTATATGCACATTGAAGATCCATCGATAACGAACAGCTTGATCGCAATAATACGATTGTATTCCCGTTTTCCCCCTTGTAGGGTAATTATCGCCTGCTGATCGAATAAACCGCATTCCCGTACGGCGAAATGTATGCAATATTTACACATTCCAAAAGTGTACTTTCTATAATTATTAAAGATATTTAAGAACGCGTTGTTTACGCGCCGCGTCTCCTGCAAAGCGGCAGCTGCGGATTATAGCCGTGGATTATATTATAAAACGCGGACGTTAATATCAACATTCGTCAATTTCCCGTGAACGGTGTCGCGGGGAGGCAAGGGCCGTTTCGTAAACCTAAATATAATATATATTTAGGTTTACAATAAATACGAATCCCCGCGCTGAATCAATTATACAATAGTACCAGTGAGAGCCCAAAGGGGACGACGTTTGGGCCGAATTGGGTCGACGACGATTCTCCTTTGCCCTGAAACCAAAATGTTTAAAACGTGCCCCTTACGGAAAAAAACACTCAAATTTTGAGCGTTAACACTCAACTGTCCGAATTCACTCTCAAATTTGGGCGTAAACACCCAGATTTATATATTTACACCCAAATTTGAGAGTAAATTCAGACAATTGAGTCTTTTTTTCCGTAAGCAAAATAATTGCTAGAAAATTACGCCAGTAATTTCTACGAATTCCATTGCCGTGGCTTGACAGGTTACGAAGTTTAAAGAGAGAAAGAGGAAGAAATGTAAATGATATAAGAGCCATACAAGTGTAAGTACAAATAGGCTAAAAATTTAACGTAGAATTAAGCTAAGCTTAGAATTGTTAAATTTAGGTTTCAAACACAAGTAAACTAAGTAAATAAAGCAATTAGAAATACTAGTCACAACATACAAGGATGAAATTAGGGAGGATGGAAATAAGTATGCAAGAATGAATGAGTTACCCAGTGAGAAATGATTCGTCAATCGACGTCGAATTGACATCGACACCGTCGAATTGACGTCGATTCGACATAATTTCGTCGTCGATTGACGAATCTTCAGCTTACCAAGAAGTGGACTTTGTTTACAATATGTTCTTCCCCAGCCCAGTGAGAAATGATTCGTCGATCGACGTCGAAACGACATCGACACCGTCGAATTGACGTCGATTCGACATCATTTCGACGTCGATCGACGAATCATTTCTCAATGGGTAAGAACATATTGTAAACCAAGTCCACTTCTTGGCTATAAGCTGAAGTTAATAAATTACTAAGTAACATTACCGGGGCTCGATCATGAATATTGAATTCTTCAGTGAAATTTTTCATTTTTCACGAGTTCACGCCAGAGGAAAAGATTCATAACCGAGCCCCTGCCAGCGAGAAATGACTCGTCGATCGATGTCGGATCGACATCGACACCGTAAAATTGTTGTCGAATCGACGAATCCTTTCTCGCTGGGCTAGACTCTAGTAATCCTTCGGCGTTCCTTTCGTTCCCAGTTGTTACATTTTCTGCACGGGAAAACTGTAGATCCTATTTCGGCTACCTTCGAGAGCGATTCGACGCTGGACTCGGACGAGACTGAAAACACGAAAGATATAAAACGTATACGCATCTCGCGCAAAGGTATGTACCCTGATGCTCCAAGCGCTCGTGGCCTCCACGTCTTCGGCTCTCGTTTCAGCTAAATATCTCTCGAAGTACGTTTCAGGGGGTTGTGTTAAAATTTGATTTCGCAATCTAATTCGCCTCGAACGTTGGAGTTTCGAATTGGTCGTCAACTCCGAGCCACGAAACACGAGCATCTAGAAGCGTTCGAGCCCCATTGATGAGTTTGTTGGCTCCTGGCTCCTTTATTCCGGATCCAATACGGCCAAAAAACGTTCGAGCCCCAAAATGCCGAACTCGACGCGTAGATGGCGGTTCAGTGTAACGCCGGAATTTCCACCTCCGGCATTGGGCACCGTGGATTTTTACGTGGCGCGCGCATTTTTGAACAAACCCGAGCTTCAATCTTCGAGCGCTTCCTTCGAAATCGAGAAGGCAGATTATTTTTACGCGCGTTCCCCCCGCTTGATCGCGTTTAACGCAGCTTCCACGTAAACATGCATCGAGAGAATAGACGGGGAGTTGAAAATGCATATGCATCTCGTAGCTTTTAATATTTATATCGTGATAAAATTGTGACGCAATCAGCGGCTTATAATGCCGTCTTGAATATCTATTATTAAAATAACATGCTCTTGTATTATAAAGATATTAATAAAAAACTGTATAATACCTGATTCATTTGATATATTAAACACCGTATGATCGATAGGCGGTAGAAACGTCCAGGGTTGGGAAAGTTACTTTTTAAAAGTAACTGGTTATAGTTACAAGTTACCAATTCTGAAAAGTAACGCGTTACAGTTACTCCCTTGCTATAAAAATAAAAATATCGAATCTGCATTTGAATTGTAAAGCGGCGACAAAGGCGTTTATGCGCAAATGCAAGGCCCAATGCGATCTGTGGAGGTTGAAAAAATATATAAAGTAACTATTAAATTAGTTACTAGTTATCGAAAAAATGTAACTGAGTTAGTAGAGAAAGTAACGAAGTTAAGTCAGAGACCAAAAAGAAGTAGCTGTAACTGTAACAAGTAACGAGTTACTTCCCAATCCTGGAAACGTCTGTCCCCCTTTTTCTCTCTCTCTCTCTCTCTCTCTCTCTCTCGATGATAGACGTACGTAGAATGAACAAAAAAACGAACAGAATATATGCAAATATCTTCTTTGTTAAGACATTTATATTACAGCAAATGCAAACGGAATGATTGCCAGGATTTGATTCACTTTCGATTCGCTTATAAAACGGCACATCGAAGAGTCTTAAATAAGATTACTTTCGCACGTGCTGTTCGTTGTTTACTCAATCACGCATATCTTGAGAGAGATCGCGTGTACATCGATGGGTTATAATACTGCACAGCCATCCGCGTACATGAAGTGAGCTTTACACATCCAATCTGAATATCTGCTGCCTCGCTGTAGTTTAGTTCAGGTAATCTCGTTATGTTACATAATCTGTAGAATGTTTTTACAGCTCGTCGCGTTAAGTCGAAAGGTAAATCCTTAGCGAGAAATGGGAAGGGTCTGTTTCTCGAGCCACTTAAGCGCCTGAATGTTCTCCGGTCCTTGCAGCAAAGGTTTCAGGGTCTCCAAACATTTCACATGATAATTGTTCAAATACTCGATCTGGAACAAAAAATGCGGTGTGAGGCGTAAGCGAAATATTTGCGAGGCAAAGTCGCAGATATACGAGAATGCGCGCACCTCCTTGTCCGTAAGCATCGACACGTCGAGCAGACTCGTTTGAATAGGTACAAGCGTCATGGTTTCGAAAGTCAGGAAGCCTCGGTTTCTGTGATTGTAGGGTGTCCTCACCGGAACAACCAGCTCGATGTTCTCCAGCCTAATGCCAAACTTGCCGTCCTCGTAATATCCCGGCTCTGTTGTTTTAAAGACACGTTTAACCGTCGCATCGATTACATAAATGGCATTCTATCTGCATGCTTTCATCGTACCGTTTGATAAGAACATGCCCGGTTGTAAACCCGGGTCATCCGGATGCGGCTTCCACGAGATACCGATCGGCTCCTCGTGGACATTGAGATAGGATCCTACTCCGTGGCCGGTGCCGTGAAGATAATCGAGGCTGCAATGTCAATTCACAGTTAGATCTAAGGAGAAGCAGACCTTCCTCGCGTAAACTAGAGCAGAGCTCGGCGAGACAGGTCACTTCGCGGCCGGTTTTCCGTTGTGGCTCGTGGCTCAGGAGCGTAAATGTGTTTTCAATAGCTTTTCTCGTCGCCCTTAAGGTACTATTATTCCGAAAACATTCCGAAAATTCCAAAAATCGGTCTAGTCATCATTTATTTCTGATTCCGCCCAGTTGATTAAAACAAGTCATCGGTGGATTATGCCCACTGGGGATACCACTACAAAAATAACGCGTTATTTTTATAAGTCAACTGAAAATAAGTTGCGAAGCGACCTATCTCGCCGTGCTCCGAACTAGAGTATACTTTCTAGCATGTTTTTCTATCGCAATAGAAATTGTCATATACCCGACGCTCCACAAGCTTTCGCGCGCCAGCGTATCGAGGTAGTTTCCTTTCGTTTTCAGGGGGAATATCATTGTCGACAGTCGGCACTGTCCCTTAAAAACTCTGGTGAAGCATTCGCGCTCGAAACTCGTGGGTTCGCCGAAATGTAACGTTCTCGTTACGTCCGTCGTGCCGTCCTGGTACTGCGCACCGGAATCACAGAGATAAAGTTCCTTGTCCGTAATAGGCACATCGGTCTCCGCCGTAGGCGAGTAATGAATAACCGCTCCGTGGGGACCGACAGACGATATAGTTGTAAAACTCAAGCCGACAAAGTGATCTTGCTCCCTTGAAAAGAAAAAGAGAAACATGAGCCTCCTGGGTTTTACGTGGCGAAAAGAGCCCCTTAGTAGAAAAACGTAAAGATCTAAGAACGTAATCGACGTACTGTCTAAACTTCTCCAATCGCGTCGCGCCGGAGATTTCCGTAATGCACTCGTTCGTGTTCTTTATCTTATCTTCCAGCCAGGCGAAATACTTTACAAGAGCGGCGGAATCTCTCACGTGCGACGCTCTCATGCCCCCGATCTCGAAAAGATTCTTTATCGACTTCATCACACTGATAGGCGTGATATCCGTATGCTTCTTAACGTCCCCGCAATCCGTGTGCAGCGCGTAGCTGGACTTGTTGCTAATCCAGATTTTATCCTGGTCCGAGCAGGAGCCCACGAGCTCCTTCATATAAACGTGTATGTCCTCGTAGGCGTGGAAAACCGGATCGACACCCTCGTCCTTCAGTTGCTGCAGCGCCTCCTGGCCAAGTCTACCTGTGTTCATGAAAACGTGTACGTCCTCCAAGGTGACGACAACGTACGCGAAGAAGACGGGATTGAACGGTATGTCGGAGCCCCGCCAGTTGAGCAGGTACGCGATCTCGTCCAGGGCAGTCACCACGAGCACCGTCGCGTCGTTCTCCTCCATGGCGTCGCGGCACAGTCTCACCTTGTCCCCGGCGCTCCGGCCCGAGTATCGCAGCGGCTGCGGCAAAACTATGTTGGCCGTCGGCGCCGACTGCTCGTCGCCCCACATCTTGTCCACCAGATTCTCGGGGAGCGGAATCAGGCAGTGGCCGGCGGCGGTCAGGCCGGTGTGCAGCCGAGCCCATTCTGTGTAACTGATCAGATTGGCGTCCGCCCCGACTACGGACTTCGGGGGTAGATTCGAGGCCAGCCAGACGGCAATGGTGGGCGTATCCAATAGGCCCTCTCTCATCAGGGTCCACGCCTCCGGCGGGTCCAACTCCGACATGGCCTGCTGGTAGTACCTGCCGTCGGTCCACAGCAAGGCCGCGTCGTGCATGACGACCACCGTGCCGTAGGAGCCGCGGAACCCGCTGACGAAGCGCCGCCTCTGGTCACGCTCGGTGGAGTACTCCGACTGGTGCGCGTCCTCGCCGTTGACAATCAGAGCCTGGATGCCCTTCTCTCGGACGCCGCCGGCTTGGACGTTGTTCATCAACGCCCGCAGCTGCGTCAGCTTCCAGAGTCCGTTCCGCTTCACCATCTTCCGCCGCAAAGAACGCCTCGTTAGTTTCGCGCGTAAATCGGGAATCGGTGGAGCGTCTTACCTTGAGAAATGTTGCTCGAACGCCCCTCGCGTCGCACTACCGACGCATCTGTCACGGTGGAAAATAACGAGAGTCCCCGCCGCCTCTTCTCGGAGGTGCCACGTTATATCTGTGCTCGCGGCCTCGCCAATTCTCGCCCTCGCGCCGCAAGATCGGTTATCTTATCGTCGCGATAAGCGAGAGCGATCGCGCATCGCACGCCCGAGCAGAGTCCTTATCTTGCCGGATACAGACGCCCGGAGAACACGCTCCTCGGGATGGAAAAGCCCAGCTACGCGACCGACAACACGCACCCAGCTCCCGGCGCATCATATGCAGGCCCTCGGCGGCCAATGGTGGGCACATGGTGAAAAGAAATAAGGTGAGGCGATCCTCGCGACACGAGTTTCGTTCTGTTCTGCGCAGCCCAGGTTTGGTGGGGGATCCGCACCATAGACATCTATGGACGGACCCTTTGTACGAGGGGCACGGTCGTATATACAGGTCTTGCAACTCATTGTCAGAAGATTTTCAGTGGTGGGGGTAGCTCTCTTAGTCCCAGTCTACAATAGATGATTTAAGCCCTAAGCTTTAAGAAATTGGCCAGTCACGGTCAAGTATGAGTAGAATGCGCGACTGTGATTAGTCAATTTCTTAGTCCCAGTCTACAATAGATGATTTAAGCCCTAAGCTTTAAGAAATTGGCCAATCACGGTCAAGTATGAGTAGAATGCGCGACTGTGATTAGTCAATTTCTTAAGGCTTAGGGCTTAAATCTCTATTGTAGACTGGGACTTAAGGCTTAGGGCTTAAATTTCTATTGTAGACTGGGACTTAGGCCCGGTTTCACCAACGCGAGTTAATCTAATCGGTCGGTTAATTTGACAGGGTGCCAACATAAAACTTCTTTATTAACCAAGAAAATAGGTTAATAAAGAAGTTTTATGTTGGCACCCTGTTAAGTTAACCGACCGATTAGATTAACTCGCGTTGGTGAAACCGGGCCTTAAGGTGCCTTTTCATACGCAGCATGCAGCAGCAGCAAATTAGTCACGTGATCCAAATTCACTACAGCATATTTGCTGCTCACGGAAAAGGAATAGCTGCAGCAGCACTGGCCGGCTAGATCGCGTGTCTGCTGCTTTGCTGTTCGTTCAATTGAACTTCACAGCGATGAAGCAAAATATGGTGAAATTTATTTTGCAGCATCTAGTAACAATTCTTCAACCAATAGCAGCGAGTTGCTGCGGCAGTATGCTGCGCATGAAATGGTACCTTTATTGAAGCAATTTTTAATTTCTGATAACGCCACCACGTGTCGCTACCCATCTAGTAGGGCTAATATAGCCGTTGATAATCTTGACCAAGATTAGTCTTCTTGATCTTGACGTTGTCTATAGAGTTCCGCTTGGGACGTTGAGTGAGCAGCTTCTTCTAA